CAAGAATCTGTGAACTGAAGAATAATCTGACGAAAGAAGGCAAAATAGTTGTGATCTTTGAAGGTTTCACATTCTGTATAGAGACATCCATTTTTTATGTTATTTACACCATTTTGTTCGTAGAAACTTCAGGAATAACTTTTTAGAAGAAGAATATATATTATGACTGAGACTTGGGTATAAAAATTTAAAAATGCAAATCTGTTGATTTGTGTAATATATGAAAATTCTATTATAAAATTTTAGATGTGACAAATCGAACATCTGTTAACGAAGATTTATCACTACGTACGTATATACATATCAAACATCAATACATACGTGTACTTTACCTTTAAGAACATACATACAAAAAAAAATGTCTTCTTCCCTTGTTACTGAAACTCAATGGAGAATTTACCCTTACCCTTCACCAAGGTTTTGGTATTTGGATCCCATTTATAATACAAATATAAAACTGTATATTTCAAACTTAAGAGTATTAGTTTACGGAAAGTTTGTTTGATATTTTTGTGCCAAGTGCTCTATTAATTATTAGATTTTAATAGATTTTTTATTTATAGATTCCAGAACTGTCTAGAGTTTTTTTGTTAAAAATCATCTAATTAAGAAAGTTAAAATAATTGCGCCAATAACTGGTATTGATATTATAATAGGTAGCATTATTAGATATACAGGTAAGATGAACTTTTGAATATTCTGTCTTACTTTTTTACATATATATACTCGCGTTGCTTATAAGTAGTTATTATTTAAGTTCAAGATGTATCAGGCTTGATCGATTGTGTAAATTTCAGAGAAAGAGGAAAAGGCGGAAGACATAATAAGTATATAGATAATCCACAGTTTGATCTTGGGACACTTGTAAAAGTTATTGGAAGATTAAATGTGTTTAATAGAAAAAGGGAAATTATTTTTAGCACAGGAAAAATATGTAACTATTATTATACTGTATTTAATTATGATTTTTTTTATATATCAAGTTTGATTTATTTATATTTTTATGTTTATCTTTTTAGATATCATAAAAGATCCTAATGTGGAGTACTTTTGATGGTTTGAATTCTTACGTTAATAAGAGATGTTTATTCTAAACTATTTATTCCACCTTCTAACGATATGACTTTGATTTATAATATTATCGATAACAAGGTATTTTGTAAAAAAACATTTTTTTTTAACATCACATATATTTACAAGTTAATACGAATTTTTATTTGTCTATAAATATTTGAATAGGAAGTGAATGAAGATGAGGCAGAATTGATTGATGATGTTAGTGATGAAGAGAAAAGTTCAGATGAAGACAATGATAAAGAGAAAAAGTCAGATGAAGACAATGATAAAGAGGAAAAATCAGATGAAGACAATGCGGAATTGACTAATAATATTAGTGATAAGGTATTTTGAAAAAAAGAGATACAGTCTACCCTTATTATAATGAATATTTAGTTATAATAGAGTAATATATTATATAGCGCTATAGCAGATATTCATTATAACAGACAGAGTTTATACTACGTTATAACGAAGGTAGACAATATTTTGTAAAAAAAAGTTGTTTCTTGACATATATGTACATTTATTTGCTTATAAATATTCGAATAGGAAGCATCATTTATAATGTCGAAATTAGAAGAAAGATTGGATGAAGATAATATGAAATTGATCTATGATGTTAGTGATAAAGAGGTAATTTGTAATAAAAAAAAAATTTTTTTTGACACATATATATATTTACAAGTTAATAATTTG